TTGCCCCAAGGGTGGTAAGAGTTGAACTATATCCTTTGTTCTTTCTGTTTTCGTATATTCTAGTTCACCACACAGTACGCTTCCACCACCACCTCCCGCCAAGAGGCCAGACGGGCGCACGATCCCTCCCTTCCCAGTTCCAATCTCGAGAAGAGCCATAATCTCGAGAGAGCGAGACCATAACACATTTTATTTATTTCCATAATATAACAGTGTAACATTATGTGTGATAAACACAACACTATTTGCAAGTAAGACTAGAGTTGAAAATTTAAAAAAAGTGTTTCAGTATGTTACTTTCCTCTTTAGATTCCAGACCACCATCACAACGACTAGGCATTAATGTGTCTCAGTATGTTACTTTCCTCTTTAGATTCCAGACCACCATCACAACGACTAGACATTAATGTGTCTCAGTATGTTACTTTCCTCTTTAGATTCCAGATCACCATCACAACGACTAGGCATTAATGTGTTTCAGTATGTTACTTTCCTCTTTAGATTCCAGACCACCATCACAACGACTAGGCATTAATGTGTTTCAGTATGTTACTTTCCTCTTTAGATTCCAGATCACCATCACAACGACTAGGCATTAATGTGTTTCAGTATGTTACCCAATCTTGACGAGAATAAGGTATTCCTTCCGGTCTTCTTAGGCGTGAGTCTACGGGCGGCATGGATCTTCGAAGATGTGTCCTTTTTAATTGTTACTTTGATTTCCCAGTAGCAATGGATAAATCCACGTTCCTCAGGAAAACGGCGAAGAAGCTAGACTGGTGGATGGAACTGGCGTGTAGTCTTAAATCCGCAAAAACAAACAAACAGAAGTAGTTGTATTTTACAAAGAAAGTAACCAAGTTATCTTAAATTTCAGACTCCATAACATTCCTACGGTTAACTTCGAACAAAAATTAATTTCGCACAATCTCTTTTCCGAGACATAAGAAAAAGGATGACCAAGATTAAATTATATTCTCTAAAATATGGTGGCTATATCAAAGGATGCAGGGCACAGTCCAAGGTGTACACCAGAACCGTTCATGAATATAGCAGCACAATCACAAACGATCTGTCAAACAGGGCCATCAGGACATCATATAGACTCCATACTTACACCCACGGGACTCGTGTCCGCAAAGCCAGTAAATCGCAGCGAGGTAAAGAGCAATTCAGAAATCCTGCAGACTCTAACCCTAACTCTCACTTCCCGAACCTACCCACTACTCCTGCACGTCTCTTGAGAAAAATATACGTATATTAACCTCAAAATATACCGCATAAAAGGTATGTCCACAAACAGCCAAAACCATTAACCATCATATTCGCCTTGGGGCATTCATACTTTTCCTCTTTAGATTCCAGACCACAATCACAACGACTAAGCATTAATACACCAGCTAGTTTGTTTTTTTCGGCTTTCCTTTGCGGCATTTGTGTGGGGGGAGCGGAACGTAATTGATATGTATATATATATATATATATATGTTTTCTTTTCTTCTTCCCCCTTAAAGTTTTCTGATTTCATCCCTTTAGTCACGAGTGGGATGAAGAGTAATTGTTCTTAGAATCTAAAAACTTATGGACGATAACCAGACAATCCTAGAACTAGAAGTATAGAAATCGAAACTGTTCTTTTTCATCCCACTTAAGATCTCAAACCTGTTACCATCAGTAAAACAGGCGGAACGTGAAAAACAAAATAAATACTGAACAACAATTATTAACTGTTTCCGTAGTGTAGTGGTTATCACGTGCGCCTCACACGCGCAAGGTCCCCGGTTCGATCCCGGGCGGAAACAACGAAAATTTTTTTTCTCTTAAAATAAGTTTTAACAGTTAAGAAATTACGTAATTGTAAATACAAATAACTTTCTGTATATTCTAGTATAATTTTAAGTGAAAAACAAGTATTCCTGGTTTAATTACTTGCGCTTACACTGAAAATGTAAGTAAGAACCAATTTCTAAACTATTCAAATTACTATTAGTTAATAATATTCATCAGAAACCTCATTTCCTGAATATTATTTACAAGTTGGGTTAATAGTGATTTTTTTTTTACCTTTAGATAGTCAAAAGCTGTTAGATTATGTAACAGCTTGTTTAATTTATACTTATCAGAGTATTAATGCGTAGTCTTTGAATATCAGTGTATCAAATATTATCAGCTTCCTACGAGAGAAAAATAGCACAACCTATTGGTTATTTTACAAATATTTAAATTATTTTTAAAGAATGTGTTTATCTTATTAACAAAACAAAACAAGAAACTTTGCAAAGTAAATATCTTGGTCTTTCTGATAAAACCAGAACATATACTAAACAAAATCAGTTTAGTAAAAAACCACAAAAAGTTACATTACTATGTAAAATATTTATGTTCACATAAACTTTCTGAATAGTGCGTATTTTTCTTCTCCGAATCAACTGAAGTCTCTGTAATAAGAAAGCTTTATTCACGCGCATTTACACAACGTAAGAAATCAAATAATTTTTAGTCTCGAGTATCTTAATTTGAACAGTATGCAGTTCGTTAAACGAGGGACAAACTTTTATTAATGAATGAGAAGTAATTAAAAGTTCTGCAGACAGTGTCAACATGAAAAGAATTTCTTTGTAGCTTTGTTAACTTAAAACGAAATTGCACCTAATTAAATTACATTCAAGTTCTAAGGCGTTGATCCTGAAAACGTTTTTGAGCTTTTGTTAGATTAAAAACGTTTTCAAACAACACACGTTGAACAATAAAGTTTTTCGCAACGTATTACACAAAGATAAGTTTGTTATGCAAGGTTATAACAATGTAAAGACTAGAATACAACACAGTAGATACTGGTAGAACAGTTTCGTTTCGTTCTGAAACCTTATGAAATTCAAGATATCATTAGTATTCAACTTAATGTAAATTAATAAAGTATCTTAAAAAGTGTAATAAAGCAAACATAGAGCATTGTAAAGGATGTTGTTTCATTTGAACTTAGAGTAGACATAATAATGGATTTAAAACTTTTAATGGACTGCAACTGACTGTTGAAAGTACAGAAACCGAAACATCGTCTGCTTTTTTTCTTTAAAAAGCAGTTACGTCCATTAAAGTTCTCAAACTTACTATTGTTAAGGGCAATTATTTAACAAAATCAGTTTTAGTAGAACATTGTGAAACGTTGGGCACAAAACAGAAGATATTGGTAGAATTCTGTGAAGAATAAAAACCCTATATAGAAATACTGGTAGAACACTGTGAATATTAAAAACATAACACAATGAATACTGATAGAACAGTGTGAATATTAAAAACATAACACAGTGAATACTGATAGAACAGAGTGAAAACTAAAACACAACACAGTAGATAGTGGTAGAACAATGTGAATCTAAAACACAACAAAGTAGATACTGGTAGAACAATGTAAAACTAAAACACAACACAGTAGATAGTGGTAGAACAAAGTGAAACTAAAACACAACACAGTAGATACTGGTAGAACAAAGTGAAACTAAAACACAACACAGTAGATACTGGTAGAACAAAGTGAAACTAAAACACAACACAGTAGATACTGGTAGAACAAAGTGAAACTAAAACACAACACAGTAGATACTGGTAGAACAAAGTGAAACTAAAACACAACACAGTAGATTCTGATAGAACAATGTGAAACTAAAACACAACACAGTAGATAGTGGTAGAACAAAGTGAAACTAAAACACAACACAGTAGATAGTGGTAGAACAATGTGAATCTAAAACACAACACAGTAGATACTGGTAGAACAAAATGAAACTAAAACACAACACAGTAGATAGTGGTGGAACAATGTGAAACTGAAACACAACACAGTAGATAGTGGTAGAACAAAGTGAAACTAAAACACAACACAGTAGATACTGGTAGAACAAAGTGAAACTAAAACACAACACAGTAGATACTGGTAGCCAGTATCTACTGTGTTGTGTTTTAGTTTCACATTGTTCTACCAGTATCTACTGTGTTGTGTTTTAGTTTCACATTGTTTTGTTTTCCCGCGCTAACTTATTCCGTCATTGATTTAAATAGACTGATCTTGTTTGAAGCGTTTATCCTACATGGCTATAATATTGTTATTTTAAACAAATATATATATATTTACATTAAGGTTAACTTTACACTTACTATCTACCACTATCTACTGTGTTGTGTTTTAGTTTCACATTGTTCTACAAGTATCTACTGTGTTGTGTTTTAGTTTCACATTGTTCTACCAGTATCTACTGTTTTGTGTTTTAGTTTCACATTGTTCTACCACTATCTACTGTGTTGTGTTTTAGTTTCACATTGTTCTACCAGTATCTACTGTTTTGTGTTTTAGTTTCACATTGTTCTACTGTACTCACCGACAACCAATCAGAACTCCACCTCCCGGTAGAATGTTGCCTTCAATCAAGGCTAGACTCTGTTGGAAAAGCAGAATTACGATGTTTGTTAATTCTTGCTTTGTATGTATAGAACAAGAAAAAACGTATATATCACGTATCATTTAAAAAGGAGTGGTTTTTTAATTAAGACTATTTTAACAGCAGAATGTAACAAATCAGGGCATAAAAATATTTGGTGTTCAGGTTAATTAATGTTTTCTTCAGCTTCTATCACAAGTTGCATGGGCACGAAGGGAGCAAACTCGTGTATAAATAAATAAAGTTGTTTCTATAACTCTAGCCATCGTGGTTGTTTCCGAAACATCGATAATAATTTATAGTTTAATGATTTCTCGATTATTCTTATACAACACTGATCAAATAAAGATCGGAACTAAGAATTAACTTATTATAAATTAATTAAGTTAATTCTCTGTCACAAGTTGACTCGAAGTACTTAAAGTCATAAATCAATACCTAAAAAAACAGAAAAACAAATCCATAATAATTAAAATTCTTTATTTCCTAGTTGAATACCTTCGCTATTAACGACATTTTCGGCCATAATCCCAACAATAACTCATGAGTAGCAGCCAGCTAAATCCATAAACTAAGTTTACAATGCAAAACAATGATTCGAAGTATATAAATCAATAATAGCAAGGTTGAACATTATTAAAAATAACGATAATAAAAATAAATCCAACAAATGGTGTATAATTGGTTTATTAATCAACTTCAAAAAACAACATAAAAACCATCAACAGTAAATAATATCAATAATGATGTTAAAAAAATTATTTTAAAAAAAAAACAACTCAAATTTTCAACTTTCAATAGGTTACGTTGGTCTCTAGTAATAATAATGTCCACCAGTGGGACAGCGGCGAGTCTACAGACTTATAACATTAAAATACAGGGTTCGATTTTCCACGGTAGATACGGCAGATAACCAAATTTGGCTTTGCTCTAAAACAAACACAAAAAAAACTTTGGTATGAAAGGGTTAAAATAGAATCCAGTATGTAGATTACAAATTTTTATAACGTACGAGCTGTTTTAAAGTTGATATATTACAAGACAGAGTGTCTGTTATAATAGCGAAAAACTACATTTCCGCTAAAAAAAAATATTAATACAATTAAATCAATTAAGTCCAAGATCCATCTAAGTAGGCGCGGAATTAGAGACGCTACATTTCCAACCTAAGCAAAATGGACTTTAAATCTTTATAGTCTGAACGATGACACACAACGACGTCAATAAACGTCTTAACAGGATTTCCAAGTGCCTCTTACTAGATAACAAGTCGTCACTAACACGTGGACAGTGAAAATGTTTTTTTCGAATATTCCCTCTTTCTTTTGGGTGAAAGAAAAACACACACGTGGTTGGCAGTCATTCAAGTAAAACCTGACGTTCACATGGTTGGCAGTCATTCAAGTAAAACAAGAAGCGTTTTCACATGAGTTGAAATGGGAATGTGACATAAGGGTCTTTGACGAGAGGTTTCACGACTTTCCTTGACAATAATTGTCACACTAAAGGTTAGGTATCTGATAAACACAACGTCGGTGTAATTTTATTACAAGACTTGTAGAAATAAACTGAAAAAATGGTATTTTCTCCAACGCAGAATTTCGTACAAAACCTAGCGTTTCTAACAACACAGAATTTCGTACAAAACCTAGCGTTTCTGACAACACAGAATTTCGTACAAAACCTAGCGTTTCTGACAACGCAGAATTTCGCAAAAAACTAGCGTTTCTAACAACGCAGAATTTCGTACAAAACCTAGCGTTTCTAACAACGCAGAATTTCGTACAAAACCTAGCGTTTCTGACAACACAGAATTTCGTACAAAACTAGCGTTTCTGACAACACAGAATTTCGTACAAAACCTAGCGTTTCTGACAACATGTACTTTACAACATTTTTAGATCTATTCCTGGTGTCTTCTTGCGCCACCTCTCTGCTCGTTTCTTTCCTGTATTTAAATCATCAATTAATAGCAAAAAAAAATTAAAAATTCAATGCATAGGTAAAGCACGAGTTACATATGATTCCAACCTATTGTTGAGCTTGAATGGCAGGTGTTCCTTGTACCATATTAATAACAGTTTTTACCGACCCTGAGTTAGCTTTTCTTCGGTCATCATACGATCCGAGGATAGAATAATGTAATAGTTATTACATATGTCTATTGATACTCGAACTAGCAAATATTTAATGAATTCTTATCGACATACGGGAAGTAAAATACTGTATTTGTTAACCCAGCCATTGTCGAAGGACCTAACTTCTGAGAACGGTCAAACCAAACGTTTACAAAATAATTGTTAGTAAAAGTTAATTATTTTTCTAGCACTTTATGGATCCAAAATATAAAAAAAATGAAACATTGTAATTAAATATACATCTCTTATTCGTCATTTTTCGTATTTTTATTGTCTAGTGTTTAACAACAAATGACTGCTTGTCAAGTCAAGTAATTACATATCAGGTCATCTTCAGCTGCAATAATTCCTAATTTAACTGCTGGCCAATTGAATTAATCTATCTGGGCTGATCTTGAGCTAAGCCTAAACAAAATGGAGAAATAAGTATAGAGCTGCAATAATTCCTAATGTAACTGCTGGCCAATTGAATTAATCTACCTGGGCTGATAATGAGGTCCAGAAAATAAGCAACCTGGTATTTTATGTTTACACTTTATCCCAGTTCATCTCTTATTTTTTATAATCATGTAATCCTTAGCTCAAGATTAGCCCAAATATATTAATTCAACTAACCAACAGTTCCATAAGGAATTATTGCAATATTATATTCATTTCTCCAATTTATTTAGGCCTAGCTCAAGATTATCCCAGATAGATTAATTCAATTGGCCAGCAGTTACATTAGGAATTATTGCAGCTCTATACTTATTTCTCCATTTTGTTTAGGCTTAGCTCAAAAATAACTTTACACGGGTTATGTGGTATTTGATTTAAACTTGTTCTAATTAACTATTACACAAGGCGGTCTCATTCACTCAGATGAGAATAAAAATAGCAGTTTTACAGCTAATAACTTACTCTTTGCTTACAGCGATTACTCAAGTTTTATTGTTTGTTGTATTCGGAATGTAAATCTTGGTCTGAGCTTCTATTAAGTTAAACTTTTTCACATATCTCTATCTGATATACCTTGTAGTTGATGAGAACAAGTTTAAATCAAGGACCACATGACCCATGTAAAGTTATTTATATCTGACGTTCTTTTTTAAGTATCAAAGAAAAACGAGAGCAGTAGCGTATAGTGGAATATTTATAACATCAGATGATCACACATTAAAAACAAATCTGTAATTTTATTTTGTTTGGTTAGGATCACATACATACATATATATATATGTATAAGAATTTAAGTAGCAAAAGTTTCACTGACAGTTTTCTTTGTCTGGTAAAACGAACTCCAACTTAAACCTAACGAGCTCACGTATCTTTTATTCTTCTTTCCAACCATATTGTGTTTCTCGTGGATCTGTAATGGACGCCAAACCACACAGAGAACGTGCTCAGATTTTATAATCAGGAGGTATATAACAAAACAAAAATATAGGTGGTTGCTGTTAAGTCATTTGGTTGGAAACTGTTGTTTTCTGGATAGTGTTAGGGGCGTCTATATCGGAAAATGTACTGTTTCCTAAGCATATATATCGTTGATTTGGAGACGAAAAATTTTTATTAGAATTGCGATAAAAAAAATTTATGTGAAGAACAATAAAAAGGAATTACATATTATTGTTGTAAGATAACAATAAAAAAGTGTTTATGTGAAGAACAATAAAAGGATTTACATATTATTGTTGTAAGATAACAATAAAAGTGTTTATGTGAAGAACAATAAAAAGGAATTACATATTATTGTTGTAAGATAACAATGAAAAGTGTTTATGTGAAGAACAATAAAAAGGAATTACATATTATTGTTGTAAGATAACAATGAAAAGTGTTTATGTGAAGAACAATAAAAAGAATTTACATATTATTGTTGTAAGGTAACAATAAATAAGTGCTTATGTGAAGAACAATAAAAGGAATTACATATTATTGTTGTAAGATAACAATAAATAAGTGTTTATATGAAGAACAATAAAAAGGACTTGCACATTATTGTTGTAAGATAACAATAAAAAAGTATTTATATGAAGAACAATAAAAATGATTTACATATTATTGTTGTAAGATAACAATAGATAAATGTTTATGTGAAGAACAATAAAAAGGATTTAGACATTATTGTTGTAAGATAACAATAAATAAGTCTTTATATGAAGAACAATAAAAATGATTTACATATTATTGTTGTAAGATAACAATAAATAAGTGTTTATGTGAAGAACAATAAAAGGATTTACATGTTATTTTTGTAAGATAACAATAAATAAGTGTTTATGTAAAGAAGGAATTAAATATCATTTTTGCAAGGCAACAATACAAATATATAAGTTATTTATTATCGATATTTTACAAAATATAAGATAGTTTTGCTTGATTTGAAAATGCAAAAGACTTATCGGACTTTACAAAGAACTTGTGTTTATAGGAGTAGATAAAACACGTTGTGTTACCTGGTAAAACTTAACATGGTTTTAGGCGAGAAATTAATCAGGTTTACTTTTTTTATTTTCTGAGTTATAGAAATTTTAAAGGTAGCCATTTGTGATCAGAAAATAAAATTTTCAAATGAACCACATAGTTGTGAAAATACTTTCCATTTTTATTTGAAGCTTTGGCTGTTGGACAGTAGTGGTGGACACAGTCCAATGTGGCTTTACTTTAAGCAAATGAACCAACAACAGAAGCGTTATTAAGTTTATAATAAATAATGTTAAATAGTTAACAATAACAGATTAATGATAAATTATTAATCATAATTAATGAATTATAAATAATCAATAATAAATTAATGAGAAACAAATAATCAACAATAAACCAATGACAAATAACTAATTATCATAAATCAATAACAGTTAATTAATGGTGACGATAGAATGATAGATGATGTTATTAATATTTGATTAATAATATTAATCTATTAATCTATTAATATAGATTACATGTAATCAATTCAAATGAAGTAAGAATAATTTCTTTTATCAATATTAACTTATAATTTATTCATTAAAAAATAATTCTCATACATGGGACCATAATAATCTCATAAAATCATTATTTTATATATTTATTATTAATCCTTCCTGATCAAAAGTACGCAAACTATATAGATCAGGACTGAAAAATAACTAATCATTTAATTAATCTAATATGAATAATAAACTTAATATAAGTGCTTAATTTACTAAATAAATACAAAAGAAAACTGAAACCTATAATGAGTAGACTACATTGAATAATCATCATCATCTGGGTGTTTTCAATCGTAATTGTAATACCTTACAAGGTTTGGCTAGCTCAGAAGATTGAGCTAATATATAATACAATTGTTATCGCGAAATAATATATCGAGCTACTTTTAATTCTCGAAAATTAATGTACGATTATGACAAGAATTTACACTTTTTTCCAGTGAATTCTAAATGAAAAACTTTGTTAATTTTAGAGGAAAAGATCTCAGATTATTCAATGGGTTAAATGTTTTTTAAAAAAAGATGGGAAATATTTTTGTATCTTTATATTAATCTGTTCCAATTTTTTTAAGACAAAGCAATACCCTTCGAATGGTTACGTTCAAAATTCATCTCTCTAAAGTTAACTGTCTTGTTTTATATTGTGGCTTATGTTATTGCTGAGAAAGTTTTCTTCTGCCCTCCCCCCCTTTTTTTTGGTTTACTACTCATCCAACTGATAGTAAATGAAAGAAAATGTAAAGGATATCTTAGCTTTTTTGGTTCGTCCTTTTTTTTACCCAGTTTCTAAGATATCTAATGATTTTTCGTTGTTTTTTTTCTTTTTTACGTACCGTTAAGCCAATGTTTTTAGCAAGCGTGACCTCTGATATATTTGCAAAAGGCTTGTCGGCTCCCCAACATTCCACGTGCTTACTCATTTTAGAAGAAGTGCGACATCTAGTAGAAGAGTCGGATCTTTTTGTTGTTCTTTTAGTATCGGTCACGCCTTCCTGTAAGACAAAGAATATCGAGAAACCTATAACTAAATATTCGAATTTATATACAAGAATAAATTACATTTGTCTGGTAAAATCTAAGGTTTTTTAAACGGAGCCAAAAAAAGTGAAAAGGGTGATTTGTTACAAATGTGGGAAAAGCCTAACAAGAACAATATATGTACATTTTTAATTTCTTCATTGACATCGAAGTGTGCCCTTGAAACATATTATTATCATATTTGTATATTTGAAACAGAGTTTTGTTTCGTTTTTTTTTAAATGACGAAAAATATTATCGTGAACGAAAGTCAATTTAATCTTAACAGTGAAAGAGATTGTGAACGACTCCCCCTGGTGGAAATTATATGCTTCACTATCAAAGTAGTTCAAAAGAAACACCGTTACCTTAGGAGGAATTATAAGGAATGTTTCCACCTGATGATTAAGACGAAATGGGTCGTGAAGAAGTCCTTGGCGTGGTTCAACCTCGAATCTGTTGTCCAGTTGCTGAAGCGTTGCCATGGTAATATGCACTCGACTGGATATGTATATATGGACAGGTTGGGATATAAAGACAAAATATATATTAAATTTTGAAATGATAAAAATGTTAAGTTTTCATTTAAATGTATTGTATATATTCTTAGCACACTGTTATTTTCAACCTTTAACGGTATCTCATCCAAACACGCCCCCAAGTGGCACAGCGATATGTCTGCAGACTTATACTGCTAGAAACCAGGTTTCGATACCCGTGGTGGGAAGAGCACAGATAGCCCATTGTGTAGCTTTGTGCTTAACTACAAACAACCTCATCCCAACACAAGCAGAAAACAACATGCTGAAAAGGCACTCTTATACTTTCTAAAAGGCACTCTTTTACTTATTTTTTCAAAAGGCACTCTTTTACTTATACTTTCCAAAAGGCACTCTTTTACTTATTTTTTTCAAAAGACACTCTTTTATTTATTTTTTTCAAAAGACACTCTTTTATTCATACTTTTCAAAAGACACTCTTTTACTTATACTTTTCAAAAGGCACTCTTTTACTTATTTTTTCTAAAGACACTATTTTACTCATACTTTTCTTACTTATGCTATTCAAATGAATGTCATATAAGCCAATGAAATATTTTCTGATTTATCACTTTCGTGCAATACTATGTTTTACACGTCGTTCCTCTGGGATGTTTGGTGTTTAGTAGCAACCATAGCATCCCAAGTATTCCTCTTAGAATCTAATATCGAACGGGTCTCCCCCCCCCCCCCCACCATGCATGCACTGACTCTTCCCAGCACTAAAGAGCCGCAGCGTGTGTATCTTTTTATTAAACAAACCTACTAAGCCTAATAAAGACAGACAGGTGCTACTAGAATTTCCAACCACGTATAAGATTTTATGTTTACGATGACAAAAATCACTGGGATAAAAAAAAAGGAGGCAAGACACATCATAAAAAAAACCCCTATCTTTTCGACAGGTTCACTTGTCTTTTATAGGGGTGAAGGATAGTAGTATATGGACGAGATAAATATATATGCCATTTTAACATTCAACAGAATTACCAACTAGACTTCTATCATCATTATGTTACCCACTAGGTTTCATGCTTCAGTCATTTATAGTACTGACGCTGCTCTCTCTCTCAAACGACACTGTAACTTTAAATGAAGTACATTGTTAAAAATATTTTTATTGTTTTGCATCGTTATCGAAGCTATCAACGTGAACGGCTTTTTATGCACACGTATGCTAAGCAACTATATAGGGTTCAGGTATAGTCAAGCCTAATTTTGAGCAACTGACAACAGGGAAGGCAGACAGTCAGCTTTGTCCATCTTCGAGCGAAACTAAGAGATTGTTTGTCACTCTTATAACGCACCCACAGCTGAAAATGCGGATCGTGTTCAACGGCGTCGCGTACCTTGGACCTGCGGATACGCAGTCCAGTACGTTAACCACTAGACCTGGCTCGATACAGTCTTCAAGGATTACTGATCATTCCAGAGTGAGCTCTAGGTAACGGGGAATAAAAAGTGATAACGAATATTAAATCATTTCATCAAAACATGCGAACGTATATTTGATTACGGTTGGTAATACCGTATGAAAACCGAGTTTCAAAGGTGTTAATATATTTGTTTGATTGTTTTAGCGCAAGGGTACACAATAGGCTATCTACACTCTGTCTCCACCACAGGGAATCGAACCCCGGATTTTAGCTTTATAAGTTTGTAAACTTTCTGACCCATGGAAGAGGGCGCTGCTGTTGTTTTAGCGCAAGGGTACACAATAGGCTATCTACACTCTGTCTCCACCACAGGGAATCGAACCCCGGATTTTAGCGTTATAAGTTTGTAAACTTTCTGACCCATGGAAGATGGCGCTGCTGTTGTTTTAGCGCAAGGGTACACAATAGGCTATCTACACTCTGTCTCCACCACAGGAATCGAACCCCGGATTTTAGCTTTATAAGTTTGTAAACTTTCTGACCCATGGAAGAGGGCGCTGCTGTTGTTTTAGCGCAAGGGTACACAATAGGCTATCTACACTCTGTCTCCACCACAGGGAATCGGACCCCGTGTTATGGCGTTGTAAGTATCGCTGACCCACCGAGAGTTGTATTGAAATGAGTTTAAGAATATGATAGCACTGTCGCTATTTCTAATATTTAAAAACACATTTAGCTGTACAGAGTTTGTGAACTATGTTGAGTAAAGGCATTTGGGGGTAATCTCAATAATAAACCATTATATAAATACATAGAAAAGTTCCCCCCCCCCGAGTGGCACAGCGGTATGTCTGCGGACTTACAACGCTAGAAACCGGGTTTCGATACCCGTGGTGGGCAGAGCACAGATAGCCCATTGTGTAGCTTTATGCCTAATTAAAAACAAACCTGTTGTAAAAAAGTTGTTTTTTTTTAAATAAAAGTAATATGATAAAATTTAAAAGGCAATTTTGAATTGTTTTAATTCAAGTTATAGAAAGCAAGGAAATGGTTATTTTCTAACAAGATTGCTTTATATGTAACCCTAAAAATAACAACGAAATCATTAACGAGTATTAATAATTGCATTACGTGAAGCGTGCTTTCAATGTTTTAGGAAACGAATCTGCTAAGCCTCACCAACACTGGTAGGTGTTCCATAAGATATATAATACATTACAAATATTGTTAGTCTAATGGAACTGTTCTTTGACGTTCAAGGTACCCCATCTGGAAGAAGTTAAGGAAGTCCTCGAGTCTTATTACTACACAAAAGAGTTTGAGATTGACGCGAGATCTCACAGGACCCGATCTTCATTATTACCCTAACGGAAAACACGCATCACAATGAGAGTAATTAGTGTTTTTTTTTATATCACACACAGAAAACTGTAGATTCGGCTAGACTATATTGTAGTAATAACATACAGGGCAGTTTAACAGTACTTAGTGAATTTTTCATTTCTTCACCAAAACGTGCAGTAATTTCAATATAATTAGTGTCTGCACCATTCTGTAACGTACACAATACGTAGTACATACTTAGAAACTAAGGCACTGTTTAAATAGACTGGATCATATCTTCATGTTACAGTACTAACACGTGTTACGCACACAGTAACTAAGGTAATGTTCATATAAACAGGGTCACGTGTTCTTGAACAGTACCGATACAGACACAATAACTAAAGTAACGTTCATATAAACAGGGTCACGTGTTCTTGAACAGTACCGGTACAGACATAATAACTAAAGTAATGTTTATATAAACAGGGTCACGTGTTCTTCAACAGTACCGGTACAGACACAGTAACTAAAGTAATGTTTATATAAACAGGGTCACGTGTTCTTGAACAGTACCGGTACAGACACAGTAACTAAAGTAATGTTTATATAAACAGGGTCACGTGTTCTTCAACAGAACCGGTACAGACACAATAACTAAAGTAACGTTTATATAAACAGAGCCACGTGTTCTTGCCACAGAACTGGTACACATTCTGATGCGACTGACCTGCTCGTGAAAAACAGCTGATAAAGGGAAAACTCAAATAACTGGTTTGATATTCATGTCATTCAGATCGCACGTGCTTATGCAAAATCAAGAGATAAAATATTATTGATGGCAGAACAAGTAGGTTTATAACGTCATAAAATATACCTTCTAGCCAGACGAATTTCGTCAACTGGAATCCATATGGACGAATAACGTGAAGAGTAAGAGCTCCTGGAGGATAAAAGTACCTTTACGATGCTATAAAATTAAATTTATGTTCTGCAGACGGTAGACGTGAGTCTGAATGTCTGAATTGTGGGGGAAAAAAAGATAGCTATTTCTGACTTTCATTCTGGAATACTCGGTTTGTTTCTTTATTTGAAGTTTTCTTGCAGACCGACACAAGAGCTTTTATACTAGACTTCCCTCTGGTGGCGAGATGGAAGGCAGCTAATCAAAAGCACCTTGCGGCAGTTCTTGAGAGGTACTCTTGTTAGACCGAATTAATAGGATTTGACTGTTACTTTTATAACACACCCACCCTCAACGTGCGGATCGAGTTTGTCCTTGTTTTATTCAGTAATGGGACGCAAACCATGAACCTTTCGATTCGGAGAAAGGAAACGCTCACCATAAATATCGGCGGACAGAACTCAGGTAGCCCATGGTGTGGCTTTGGAGTAAATAAACA